CCAACCATTTTACATGTCTCATTTTTTCAACCCTGTAAGGTAGGCATTACAACTCAGTTTTATACCGAAACTGAGGATCAAAAAGGTTAAGTGAATTCCCTAAAGTCACATAGATGCTGGCAGGGTCAGGATTTGAACCTTGTTCCACTTAGCTCTAAAACTTACACTCTTTTGATTATACCATCCTACTTCTGGAATGAAATGTTCTGGTCATTCTAGCCCTGCTTTTTAAAGAAACATTACTTCCTATCTATTTTTTTTAAAGATCCTATTTATTTATTTTTAAACAGAGAGGAAGGGAGAGAGAAAGAAAGGGAAACATTGATGTGTGGTTGCCTCTCGTGTGCCAACTACTGGGGACCTGGTCCTTAACCCAGGCATGTGCCCTGACTGGGAATCAAACTGGCATCCCTTTGGTTCGCAAGCCAGCACTCAGTCTACTCAGCCACACCAGCCAGGGCACTTCCTACCTTTAAATATACATTAGGAGGCAATTTAGTATAGCTCAGACCATGAGCTCTGAAATCAAACTGCCTGGATTCAAATTCCATCCCTATATTAGCCGTGTAACCTGGAATATGTTTATTATTATGAGCCTCAGCTTCTCCATCTATATATAATGGGCACAGTAATAATAGTTCCTCTCATACAGTTGTCACGTGTAAAATATCTAATACGGTAAAGAGTCCACTTATCATCAATATAGCAAAGCTATTATTATTTTATTATTATACTGCTGATACGTATCAAAATTATTTGTCCTTTTGTTCATGTAGAGCTCCTGATCAGTACATCTGAACCCTGGTTTCCTGTATCTTAATTATCCCTTCTAACACTTCTAAGTAGCTTTGCTTTTTTGAGAGTGGTTTTTGCAGATACAGCTTTACATACGCAAATTTTATTCGCTCATACATTAAGTGGCTAATTACTGGAACATGCTGGCCACTCGCTAAGGTGTTACCTAGTGTAATGATTTGTCAAATTGCTTTAGCATTTTTTTATGTAAGTACTAAAAATAGTAATTCATTATTTTCTTTTATCACAGGATTTGGCTTTTTTGCCCTATGTGTAATCATTTCCACTTGTCTGTCTTCATAGTGTGACCTTACAATGGCCAGAGTAACCTCCTGGTGTATATTATTTGCTCTTCAGTTGGCTTAGTTTCTGTGTCAGGTTTCAAGTTTGCACATTGCCTTGAAGCAGCTGTTTTAGAGAAGCCAAACACAAAACCAGCCCTGGGTGGGATACTCTTAATTTGTCTTGTGATTTGTGTTAAGCATTCAAGTAAACTATCTGAACAAGACCTTGGATATTTTCAGTACCTACACAGTCATTCCCATGCAGTATTTCCTTTTCCATACTGCTGTCACCACCTGCTCTGCCCTTTTTTAGAAGGCAGCATAGGCCCTCAACAACTTTAGTGGTACCACCTGTGGTTTCCTTGCCATAGTTCTTTTGATGTTTCTTCCTCTACTCCTTTTGAAATATATTTTGGTTTGTACCAAATATAATCTCTCCCTAGACCAAGATTTTTTTTAAATTAAGGTATTGATACAAGGAAAAAATGGTTTTGAAAAAAAGACAATCAAAGCCCCGCCCTCAGCCCAGAGCTGAGCAGGCCATTTCCAAGCCTGAAGTGTTCCCTGTCCTTCCCTGGACGTCACTGTCCCCTTCTGCACTCTGGTGGCTTTGCTTATAGACTTCACTTAGCTTTGCAGTGGGCCTGAGGAATTTCCCGGGGCAGTGAGGCCTAATGGGGCCATGTTCTTGGTGCAGGTGGCCTGCCTGGATTGCAGCCTGATCTTGATCCTCTTGGAAGCCTCCCTGGCGGATCTGAATATCAGGCTGGAGAAGAAAGTGAATATGGACCATTTCAGGCCAAATATCGTGGTGACAGGCTGTGATGCTTTTGAGGAGGATACCTGGGATGACACCCTCATTGGCAACACAGAAATGAAAAAGGTTGTGGCTTGCCCCAGGTGCATTTTGACCACAGTGGACTCAGACACCGGAGTGATAGACAGGAAGGAGCCACTGGAGACCCTAAAGAGCTACTGCCTGTGTGACCCTTCCGAGAAGGAAATAAACAAGATGTCCCCACTTTTTGGGATCTATTACTCGGTGGAAAAAATTGGAAGCTTGGAAGTTGGGGGCCCTGTGTATTGGATGGTGTGGTGACATATCCATAAGGGTAACATGTTTTCAGCGTCAGGGAGACATTGATCTGGATTTTAACTTCAACAGCAGCACCACCTTGGCAAATCCTTACCACCCAACCTCGGATCATCTTCTCCCTGGAACTGAATCTCTGTCTTGACTTTTTGGAGTTACACACGCTCCGGGTGAATGCAAGGAAAGTATTAGAGGTGACTGGGACTAAGGTTATGTAGATTTTAGGTAAGGAAGACTTTTTAAATACATAAAACTGTCTTACAATTATTTTGATTGTTACTATAGCTATCATACTTCTGACATTAATACTGATGAGTTAAGAAAGTATAAACAATCTGCTCAAAAGCTGAAAATTTTTTCCTAAATGTTTACATTTCATTACCTACCATTCCATGTTTTAAGCAAAACGAGAAACAATTGGTGTCCTGTCTTGCCTTTATATGTGAACACACAAGGTTCTGTTAGTTGGTTTTTACATGACTACTGAGTCCTGTTGACTTTCTGCTCTTGTGATTTTGACCTCACCATCATGGAATCAGGTCATACTCGACTGTAGCAATTATTTTATAGACCTCATTTTTATAGCCGATAATGCTACTTTTCAGCCATATAAAAGAATTGTGTGTAATTGCCAGCTACACCACCAGGGATTCCAGGTATGATATAAAATAGAATGGAATTTAGAGAGTCAAGTGGGAAGATGGAAGGTTGCACATAGTTTTTTAGGTGCAAATAATTTTTTTTTTGGTAATAGAGAAATGAACTCTTTTGGTATGACTAAACAAAAATTCTCACTGAATATGTGAATGACTTAACCTACTTATAATTTTGTGGCATCTTTGGTATTAATAAATGTGACTTTCTGTTGTAAAAAAAGGACAATCAACTGTCTTCCATGAAAAGTCTATTTTATTTTTTAAAGATATTTTATTTATTTTTAGAGAGGAGAAAGGAAGGAGAGAGGGAGAGAAACATCAATGTGTAGTTGTCTCTCGCCCACCCCTAACTGGGGACCTGGCCCACAACCCAGGCATGTACCCTGACTGGGAATCGAACCAGCGACTCCCTGGTCCGCAGGCCAGCACACAATCCACTGAGCCACACCAGCCAGGGCTAAAGTCTGTTTTACAGGGAGGTTATTGATGTTCCATTTTGTAATCTGAATCCTGTATGGAGATTTGTTACCATAAATAAATACAAAGGTTTTGCTTGGTTTCTTTGCATCTGTCATTCCTAATGTTCATTCATGGATCATGAACAGGTTTAAAACTTTCAAACAACATAGGACAGCTTTAAATGAAAGTCCTAGGGATAGTATGGTTCCAGTTTTCACAGCATATGCTTGGTAAAACACTAGAAATCCTAAGTCAGTATCTTAGGCACCATGGGGTCAGGGCACAGGGAGGGGGGTTGAGGCCACAACAGTGGGCAGGCCTCCAGATACCCCCGCCATCAGAGTAGCTTTGCTTTTCTATTTTATATATTAATTAGGCTTCAAGAAAGACTGCATTTCAGTAAGAGTCTGCTAATCCAATCCTTTTGTTTTACAGCTGTGTCTTGAATGTTCTACCCTGAATATTTGAAACAAGGACTTTGAATGAATGTCATTAGGATTTACAGCACATTTCTGTCAAGGTTCTGAAAATAAATTTCTCAGATTGACAAAACAAAAGCTCAAATTGTTGCTCTGGCAGTTAACCCTCTTGAGGATGGATGCAAATGTTCTAACTCTTCTTTCTCATTATTTTGTGCCTACAAGTGTCAAAACACATCCCTTGGTGCTCAAGCATGTTGTATGAATCTGACAAGACCCTCTTTCTCATTGTATTAGCTGAGCAAGCAATACTGTACAACAAAGACATTCAAGTTTGTGTGTAAATGTAATGAGAACACGTTAATACTAGATGAAGGAATAATGATATAGTAATAAAGTAAATAAGATATAGTAAAAAGAATAAGGAAGAATGAAGAATAAGGAAGAAACCAAAGGACATCTCCTTCAAGACCTGAGGTTTTTACATGAACACACTAAATTTTGTAGGGAAAAAAATCAAAAGGGGCATACTGATACAAGGTACATGCCAGTTACCTACCCTAAAAGTCTGATTTTTCTGGACCTCAAAATGATATTCTTACTGCTATGCTGCTGCTGCTGCTACTTTTTCCCCACATACATGTTCTCCACACAGCAGCCAGACCCTCCTAAAACTTAAATTATATATCACTTGTCTGCTAAAAAAAAATCCTCAAATGGCTTCCCCTCTTGCTGGGTAAAATCCAAGTCCTTGCCATGGCCTACAACACCCTACATGATCACCACACACCCTTGACCCCCCAGCCCAAATCCATTTCTAGCATATTTCTCAGACTTTCTTACCATTCTCCTTACTCAATTCACTCCAGCCATACTGACCTTTTGACTGTTTTATCTTAGAATCACAGCATGCAGCTCCCACCCTGGGGCTTTAGGACTTGCGTCACCTCTACCTGAAATGTTCTTCTCCCTGAAGCCTACATGGCTTGGTCACTTAATTCTTTCAAGCCCCTGCTGAAATGCCATTGTCCCAAAGAGGCCTTCTCTAACCATCTTATCTCAAATAACAATACCCCACAAATATTCCCCAAACACCCTTACTCTGATTTTTCTCCATAGCACTCATTGTATTGACATATTTATGTGTTTATTGCCTACCTCCCCTCACTAGAACATTAAGCTCCACATGGCCAGGGACTCTGTGTACTGTTGAATCCTGGGCACAAAGCACTGAAATGTTTGTTGAACTGTTTTGATTAGGATTTTTAAAAAATTCCTTGTGACTATATGCAGGAAAGCTAAAAGGACTTGAGGCTCTAGAAATGTTATTCCCCCAATTTTCATGGATTTTCATAGAGGCACTGAACAAGTAGATCCACTCTAGGTCTATACTCCAGTCTACCCAGGATTTGAAGTAAGAGGAGAGGAATCTGATCAATTTAACCTCTTCTACTACACTCAGGGAATTGACTGTCAGCACTGAATTCTTTCCCTCCCCATCTCACCTCAAGGTTCCCTTTTCTCACAAAAAGGTCAGGGATCTGTGGAATACTGTGCTATAACTTGCACAGAGCAGGTACCCAGACTGACTACATTTTAGCCTTGGAACCAGTCCACACTGAATTTCTCCAGGGTGCAGGTGATAGATAACCAGAATAGAAAGCCTTCTCAATCACAGAGTTGAATCTTATAGAAGCTTTTATTTCAGTGATCAAAAGAACGCAGTAAATGGAACCTATATTGATTAACATTGGGCATGCAACTCTACCTCAAGCTGCTGTTGAATTCTGACAGGCCTAAGTCTTTATAACTTATTTAGGCACATCTTTGAATTTCTTGGACCCTGATATACAGGGTAAGTGAACTTCTTCCTTGTGGCACTTTAGTAATGAGAATTATGTTCACTGGCTAGATTCCTTTATAACTAAAGGCCTCTAGATACTCAGCTGCCTATACTACCTTGAGACCATATTTTTAAGTAAATCACAGTATAAGGGAGATAATTTAGAAAGCTGAACTGTATTCTATGAACATTCCACATTTTCCAGCACTCATGGTCAAAACATTAGGTAAGGAGGCCTACAGGTAAGTGCCAAATTACTCTTCCCCCACTGCCACCTTTCTCAGAGACTCCAAGATGTGTATCAGTATCCCTAGAAATCTGAAACAAGTTCATGCAAATGACAGATTTTACCCATGTGGTCCCACTATCAAATTACAGAAAGCAGTTCCACTATCCAAATTATAGGAAGTAGTTAATGGGACTTTGAGAAAAACATAGTCCCACAAACAGTAATATGCATCTAAGAAAGTCTTCCATTCATCTGGCCATTGTTTTCACAAGATTAACATTAAAAAAGCACAACCAAATACACATTATGACCCTTAAACCCCAAACACACAAAATATTGGTCTTTGTTCATTCTCTGATGACCAGATGTTCCATGAGTGCCAAAGGTAGGAGACAATGCCCCCATAGCTTTTCCTTTAACCATTCTTCAACTACCTTCCTTTTCCAAAAAGTTAATACTGAAATCAGTCAGAAAGGCTTTCTGAGAAGACTGGCTTGGATTTCTGGGTCTGTTCCAGTCGATTCAAGATGAATTGGCTTGTATCAATGAAGCGCTCAACGCAGTTCACAAAACAGGCCTCAGCCCGACTGTCCAACTTTGGCCCAGGCTTGTCCATGCATTTTTCCTGGTCAGGACAAGATTAAGAATCACAAAAGAGAATTTTGCGCAAAAAAAAAAAAAAAGAGTAACTCATTGTTTAAAGGAAAAATTTCACCTAAAAACAGTAGCTGACCTGTCAATCATAGTTCACATATAGCAGCAGCTTACTTTGTGGCAAGAAATTTTCTACAGCCTTACATCAAATTCTCATAACCTTACAGAGTAGGTACCATTATTAATCTTCATTTTAAAAAGAGGGAAACCATGGCATAGAGAGATACTTTGCCTAACGTCATAGGGACCAGAAAATTGTGGAGTTGAGATATTACAAAACAAGGAAAATGACAAGATACAAATGAATTAACCCTTCGCTGAATTTGATTACAACTCCACAATGCCAACTGTATTAAATGCCTTTAAATTAACTACAGGATTAAAAGGGTGAAAAGAGAAATCACTGCGCCAAGACACCCAAAAACCTACCAAAGAATAAAAGAAAATCTATGACCTGAGATTCTGTAACATTATATACTTAAGCCAGAGGTTCTTGATTCCATCTTAAATCCAAGGTGAATGGGAAATTGTATAAATTTTCCTAAAGCTTACCAAGTCTTAGGGAAGTCCTTAACCACATTCAACATGGGCCAAGTGTAATGAATCAGATTTTTTTTTTTAAACTATCAAAGCACTGTGTTCCAAGGCAGGCAGGAGTTAAGTAAGCATTTGTTAAGGGTCAGAGTTTAGCAATAACATAAATTTATGAAAAAATGACTTCAGAAACTGATGACTGTATCTAGTCCAAGTTAGGCAGTTCAAATGAATTCTGGTCATTATTTTCTGCTGTGTACATAAGCCTCAGACCCTTCTCTTCTAAAGAAAATTACCCTTGGCCTCTGAATTCTGTATGTCAGGGCAGTTATGCTGCCGTTGGCAGCCAGAGAACACTTTGATCCCAAGATACAAATGCCCTCCACCCTTTTGCCAAAGTCCCCTCACGGGGCATACTCAATTCCTTAACCTTCGGACCCAAAACGGTTTAATATTACAAAACAACCCATCAAAAAGACAAGGAAGTGTGTACGTTGGGCGAGATTACACCACTTTTATAGTTAATAGGCTAGAGGCTCTCATTTGTCACAGGGGACGTTAGAGACACGGGGTAGTCAAGGTAAACCCTAAAGAGTCCAGGAACAGGAGCTTCGCCGACTACCCGGGGCTCGGAGTTCCAAAAATTATATCCCAGTACTGGGGACTCTTTCATCAGTGTTGCTGGCCAGCACTAGGCAGCTTCAACCTCAGGTGCCTAAAGTGCTGGTTGGGACAGCGGCATAAGTCTTCTATGATTCCCAGCCTCTGTACCAACACAGTCTAGGTCGAGTGACAATCCCCTGAGAAGCGGAATCACTTTTTCTCCTACCCGTGTCGGCCTGAGAAATCTAAGGAAACCAAGGGGTGCTGTCTGGTGCTCCCTTCTCCCCGAGTCACGCGGGGCAAGGACAAGGGGAAAGAAGGTACGGTGGCCAGGTCTCGGCCCCAGGCTCCTCACCCAACAAAGTTCGGTCATCTGGTGCACCAGCTGTTGGAAGCGCTGCTTCTGAGTCTCCACCTCGATGAAATGCTGCAGCTGTGGGTCCACTGAGCCCAAACCCGTCGCGGAGGAAGACGAAGAGGAATCCATTCCAGCAGAGGCACCAGTGCTGAAATGAACTCCGTAGCAACTCACCGACCTTCACGTGTCTTCGCGACGGAACCGGAACCACAACCCACTGCCTTCGGGACCGCCCCCCCCCCTCGTGAGCCCACTGCGCCTGCGCAAAAGTTCGCGCGGGTCTGGCTTTCTACACGGGTCCCCGGTCGGGAGTACCCCCCCGTTCCGCTGTGTTTGGATTCTCCTGGATCCACCCTCTGCGTCTTCCCCACGTCGGGTACTCAAGTCTAGCAGCTGGCGCGCTCCACGCAGGTCCTCTTAGCCCACTCCCTGCCCTATGCCCTCGCTGGGCTCTCCTCCTGGCTGTGTGCCCACTCCCCTCGCCCCCACCAAGCTCTGTTCCCGGCTGTCTGTGCTCCCTTCTCCCGCCCGCGTCCCCATCCCGCCTGCGCACTGAGGTCTCAGGACTCGCACCCCAACGCCTCATCGCTGTGTGGACATTATTCGGAAAAGAAAAGAAAGAAAATCAAGTGAAAAGGAAGTTACTGCAGACCACGTGGCCGGTTCGTGCTCGGCCCAACAGCCTCGCCCTTGCTCGCTTCCGAATTGGTCCGCGCTTTCCCAGGTTCCTTGTTAGTTCCCGGCCCGGACTCATCGGACCTTCTCTTAGCGGTCCTGAGTTTTCCCCTCCTGACTTGGGGATGGAGGCTCCGGCAGAATTCGTCTCAGAGCAGAATTTTTCAGAGGCAGAACTTTCCCAGAGCCCGAGGGGTTAAATGCCGAGGATCCTGTCGATTTCTCAAGACAGGAATATGCCAAAGCAAGGTCACAAAACAGTTTTCTGGAACACTGAGGGCATTTCAGGGAGGCCGCATGATTAATCGAGAGAGCAAGAAACCTTCATGCTTTACAGTAATTTTATTTTATCAAAACACTCCCCCGCCCATGTCTGTGACACCGTTTTATTTTTGCCAAATTCGGCCTCCCTCCCTGCAAGGTCTAATGCCTACCCAAAAGAGCTGTTGGACCCCTTGTGAGGCTATTTACATCCCTCCCTCCCCCAAACTGTTTGCATCCCAAATTCAGTTTCGGTACACTTGGGAAATTTCTTCTCTGGGGCACAATACCAGGCACAAAAATTCCATGGCCTTTGCTCACAAGGTACTATCCCATGGAACTAAAGAGGTAACCCTAGACGTAGAGAGTGGCCTTTGTGTATTCAGCGAGAGCACAACTGCTTCAGGGCCTGTAGCCTAGGTTTGCCCCCAAGAAAGTGAAATTGGGGTTTGTGGGGGAGAGTAGAACCAGGAAGCTTATTGGTGAGCTCAGGATTCTTCATCCATGACATCTAGAATATTGCTCAGAAGAACTTTGAACGTGGGACGTTCATCTGCTTTCTAAAACCAAAGAAAAAGAGTGTTAGAGTGGGCTAAAATCCAGACTTCAAGCGAAATGCAATGAGTAAGAAGCAAATGTTTATTAAGTATATCCTATCTGCCCAGTAACATACCCTGTTGATTACCCCCAAAAAGGAAAGAAATAGTAGCACTCTATAAAATACTTGTGCACTTTTCATCTTTAGTAACCCAGGTTATTAATGTGATGAGGACAATTTGCAAATTAAACTGATAAACATTGATTAAAACAGGGCAAATTCATTACATAATTGTACATCAATGCCTTCTTATTTTGTATCCTCAACTGAAAAATGGCTACCAAACAAGTTAAGAGGTTGACAGAACTGAAATCCTAAAAGCTTTGATAATTTTTAGCTTGGTTTCAAACACTTTCTATCATCTCATAGTCAAAATTAACAAAGGAATTAACATTTCAAGGCCACGGGCTGCGTGCATCACTGGGCAGGGATCCTGAGCACCTAGGACCTACTGTCTGGTTTGCAGACTAAGGACCTCTGTGACGGCCATGGTCCATAAGCCTCCTGAGGTATTTAGTGATTCAAGGCATAGCCATGCCAGAAAGATCTCAATTCATCAGCACGAAAAAGCCATCAATTTCTGTTCCTTTGAATCAGTGGTTCTCAAACCTAGGTGAGTATCGGAACTTCTGGGGCCCTGGATGGATAGCTCAGTTGGAAAGAGTGTCATCCTGATACAACAAGGTTGCAGGTTCCATCTCCAGTCATGGAACAGACAAAAAGCAACCAATGAATGCATGAGTATGTGGAACAACAAGCCTGCCTGCCTCTCTCTTGCTCTCTCTCCCTCTTCATCCCTCTCTCCCTCCGAAATCAATAAATTAAAACAATTAAAAAGATATTTCTGGGTTCCACGCCAGACATACCTCATCAGAATCTCTGGAGATACGGCCCCATCATCTGTAGTTGTAAGAGTTCCCCAGGGATTCTGATGTACATCCACTATGGAGATTACTACTTTAAACAGGCTGTGGGGAAAGTGCCTCTCTGAAACAGTTAACTAACAGAGTGAGGATGTCCTAGTTGCGGGGGAGCACAGCCATTCCACCTTAATCCCGCATGGCACAGGAGGGAGAAGGGAAATGGCTCCAAGGGGTTCTCCATACTTTCCTTGTGACCCCAGTCATTTTTTAAGGAAAAGATGCCATGCTCTGATCCAGATCCCCAATTTTTAACCCCACCAAGAGGGCTCCAAATTGACATATGTGCTTGTTGGAAATGGTCTTCCTCTGTTTCTAGTGGGGCAGAACTAAAAGCTGAACATTTATTTTTTATTAGAGATTAAGGTTGCCAAGGATCTACTGAAAAGTGGAGGAGGCACCTCTGGAAGAACCAAAAGTGAGAGCAGCAAAGCATTTTAGTAATAGTGGGACAAGTTCTTTATTTTCAAAACACCACATGCCCTGCAATGCAACATTATTTAAAAGAGCACTACCTATTTTTGTTCCCTTTCAGGTCATAGGGCCTTTATTTTTAAAATCTCACTTAGGGGCACAGCCAGGAAGGATTGGCAGTAAAGTAGAAGAAAGGACCAATGACTCCCAAAAGAGTGAACACAAATTTTAATGACTTTTTAATGCCCATACATTTGTCTGAGTGCCTTTGGCTTCCTGGATATACTAGGTGATATGGCCTCACATCACCTCCTCTCCCTAAAGCTGAGTTGTTATTGGAGTCTGCTAATAATACTCTAGTGAGAATTGGAGTGGGCCTGGGAAAGCTTCTGGCCATAGAAGGATTAGGGTGCAGGCTAGGGTCTTAAAATGTGTGCAGCTCCATGCAGCCAGGGAGAGTGGGAACTGGGTGCTTGGCTGGCTAAGTGAGAAACTAGGTACAAGAAAATAATTTAAGAGGTCCCAATAAAACACTTACCTCATGCCAGCAGCTGTACATGATGGTATATACCCGCTCAGAAGCTAGATGAGGCCTGTAGAGACGCAGGCCTTGGGCAATGTGTTCAGCGGTTTCACTGTTAGTAAATCTCTCATATGGCATCTTCCCCAGAGAGTAAATTTCCCACATTAAAACCCCTAGAAAATGAAAAAAAAAAGTAATAAGTCAGTTTGCAGTCTTTTCAGGTATCAAGGATCCTAGTCTTCCTTAAAACAACCTCAAAAAGTAGATTCAGCCAATTTGCTGCTCTGTGATTTTTGCATTTTGTCCAAACTTCCACTATAGTATTGACCATGCTGGAGGCTAATCAGAGTTGCACTGAACCATTAGCTCCTTCAGGAGAGACACCATCATATTTGTCTTTGTGGTCATAGGGTCTGGGAGAGTCCCTGGTACATAATCAGTATTCAGAAGCTGTCAAATACTGAGTGGATTGTTTGTTCCCCTTATTGTACTATATTGTAAATTCTAAGAAGGCAGGGATCATATCTAGTTTACTGGTTTTATCCCCAGAAATCCTGTGGTGCCTGACATAGTAAGCACTCCCTAAGGATTAGGTGAATGAAAGCAAGAACAAATAACCTCTCTGTGCAGGTTGCAAAGTGTCAATTCCCATATTGCGTTCCTCTGCCTTTGAGCTGTGTAATCTTTATGATCTTATCCACTCACCAAAAGCCCAAATGTCAGATTTGCTGCTGAACTTGCTGTACATAAGCACTTCTGGTGGAGACCACCGGACTGGGAATTTGGAGCCTACTGAGCTTGTGTATTCATCATCCAGAACATATCTGCAAAGGATTCAGGGCTCGTTACTTTTTGGATTTGGAGAGCTTGATATTAACTTATGTTTTCTTGGCACAGTTACAAGAGTTGCACAAATAACAGCCTATAGGCCAACCAGTGTGTTTTACAAATGTTTTTTTTTTTAATCACTGTCCTTTAAAAAAAAAAAGATTTTATTTATTTATTTTTAGAGGAGAGAAACACCAATGTGTGGTTGCATTTTGCGCGCCCCCTGCTGGGGACCCGGCCTGCAATCCAGGCATTTGCCCTACACTCGGAATCGAACCTGCAGGCCAGCGTTCAATCCACTGAGCCTCACCAGTTAGGGCCATTTTCCTGTTCTTACATCTGATTTAAATTTCCTGATTGACAATGTGGTTACAACAAAGGCGAAGTGAAATAAGACCTAATGGGTACTCCCTTCCTCCTCTCTATTCCTTTCCTTTCTCTATTCTCTTCCTTTCTCTATTCTCCTTCCCTTCCTTCTGTTCTATAGTTGCCAGTGAGACTTAGGCTGATTAGGAAATAAGAAAGGATGGAGTAAAGGCAACAGGATTAAGAGATCAAGATAGCCATTGGGAAAATTTCGCTTAAAAAGAAGAGAAGGAGAAAGAAGAAAGGAGTATAACAATAAAACAAAAGGATGAAAGAAGTGACAAATTCAGAGAAAGAAAAAGTGTAGAAAGATGTTGAAAAAGACTAGAATGAGAAAAAAGAAAGGGAAAGGATGGAAAATTATAATGCCTCCTCAAGTTTGTACTGTGCTATTTTTACTTTTGGAGGGAAAGATGAAAAAGACACACTTACCTGGATAGGCCGAAGTCAGATACTTTAACAACTCCTTGATCATTTACCAAACAGTTTCGAGCTGCCTGTAGTGCAACAGATAGCAGTGAGACTCTATCCCTGGCAGACAGGTTAAAGGCACAAAGCTTCTGCCCACCAGGAGAGTGAAGCCAGGGTAGCCTCATCTCCTTCAACTAGAGC